CTCTGTTCTCTTCCCAGAGAATCAAGACACATCACTCTATCAACCTTGGTATGTAGCAATAAGCACAGAGTATTGCCAGCCAAAGAAGTTTACCTGAGCTTTGGTTCCAGAGATTTTCTTGGGGCTTAATCACATAGACATAACTGATTGATTGTCTGAATGGTTAATCTCCGTCTGTAGGTTGACTGATATCACATGACCCAAGACGCCTGAATCCCAATCTTGTTCTTTCTGGTGGAGCCCAGTTCCTACTCTAATAAATGTTCAAAATATATTTTATTGTTTTTTTGTTTTTTTAACAGAACGGAGGAGAGAGGGATAGAGAGTTTGAAACATCGACGGGAGAGAAACATCGATCAGCTGCCTCCTCCACATTCCCTACTGGGGATGTGCCCACAACCAAGATATATAATACCCTTGACTGGAATCAAACCTGGGACCTTTCAGTCACAGGTGCATGCTCTATCCACTGAGCCAAACCAGTTAGGCCCCAGCTCTTACTCTAAAACTAAACAGGTGCTGCTAACTCCCACACTAAATCACATCTTTAGACTATTCAGTATGACCCAAGATACCCAGGCAAAGAAAGACGTATAGGTTACCTTTCAGAAGCTGAGGACAAAGATCAGGCCTCTCTTGGGAAATGGCCCAATTCTTTATAAAACATTTGGTTGGAAAAATGGACTTCCATTTTCTCACATGCTAATGCATTCTCTTCTCTATAAATTTGCTTTTTATTTCTGAAACATTTATATTTCTCCATGGAATTAGTATATAAGTAATTTGAAATATATTATTTATGGGTAATTGATCTTATGTCTATGAATAACAACAGTTGTTCTCAATTCAGCTTTTAAAAAATTTATAACATTACTAGAAGCCTGGTCCATGAATTCGTGCACTGATGAGGTCCCAAATTGTGTGTGTGTGTTTGTGGATGGGGTGGGATGTGATTGCCTTCTGGGCAGACAGTAGGATGCTCTTGGTGGCCCAGGATCCTTTCTGTCTCGCTGACATTCATGCTGGTTGTCGGGAGCCACCTTTTGGCCATTTTTATATTGTTTCTTCCTGTGGACTGTCTAGGGAGGAAAAGCAGCCACGTTCCCAGGAGCTGACTTCCTAGAGGCTGGGAGTGCTGTCAGGATCATGCTGGTGGCACTGGTCCAATGGTGCCTAGCCTGTTCTCTAGAGATTGGACCTGTAGGAATACTGAGGGAATGAGTGGCTGCTGGGCTCCTGCTGGAGGAGGGCACTAACCACCAGGGGCAGCTCTTGCATTGAGCATCTGCCCCCTAGTGGTCAGTGTGCATCATAGAGACTGGCTGTTCCAGTCATTCTGGTTGTTCTGTTCCTTAGGATTATATATATATTCATTATCTTGCCTGAAAAATCGTATTAAATTACTAAAATAATTTAATTAAAATATTTTAGGCAATAGATAGGTGTTTATTAATTCATTTATGCAATATTTATTTGTTGAATTCCTCATGTATGTCATATATTTCAATAAGTTATTTGTATGCAATAATAATTAAGATCTAGTCCCTCTCTCAAGGAATTCCAGTCTAATAAAATAAATGAACAACTAAATAATTATAGTAGAGAGAGATAATTATAACAAAAATGTACAAAGAGCAATGCCTAGCCCTGCCTTTGGGTTCCAGATAAGAAAGGGGCATCTAAACTATGACTTGAATTAGCCAAGTGATAAAAGTGGGACATATAGGAATCTAGACATTGCAATAGATATGTATACAAGTCTGCAGGAAAGAAAATAAATGATAAAGTGTAAGTTGTCTCCAGAGGCTAGGAGTTGGGTGAAGGGATAGTCAGAGAAGGCAGCAAGAGTGTATACTTCATGCTGATACCAAATAAAATAAGTCTCATTATGTGCTTATGAGGTGCTGCAATTTTCATAGGCTATATGAACTTGCTAAGCGAATTCTGCTTGTAGCTGAAGGGAATATATATTATCTTAAAAAAGCAGATGCCAGAATTCTTGATAAGCAACTTGAGTAGTTCATTCAAACAATGTATATTTAGAGTTACGTTCCTGGTACTATGTTGGTTCCTATGGATACAGCACATATGGAGATATATATACAGGGATACAATGCTGAACAAAACAGATGTGTTTTCTCCTTCATTAAACTCACAGTCCTCCATGGATTCAGATTTTAACTACATAATTATACAGTTATTTCATTGCAATTGAGATGTATACTATGACATGAGGTAAGAAGTGCTATGACAAAATATAACAAGAGAAAATGGAAAGATTTGTTTGAGGAAATGACCTAAACTGGTATTGGTAGGGAGAGGATAAGGGTTATTTGGGTGATGGTGGTAAGAGAGTGGGGAATGCGGGATTTAGGGGAGGAATTATCATGGAGGACCAGAGATCAGAGAGACCAAGGTGAATTTAAGTCCTAGAAAAGGAGGAGTGCTCCTTTGAAATCAGAGTGTAATTGAAACAGTGGCATGAGTTGAGGAGGAATATTGGACAGAATCTACACAATGCAGCCAGATTTGTCATTGTAAAACTCTTATCTGGGAAGGGGACACTTTCTAGAGGTTTCAATTTGTCTTTACAGAGAGTATAAATGACTGATCATATTTGCATTTTTAAAAGGTCACTCTGGGTGACAAATGGAGAAAAGAATAGAGTGAGATGGGGTGGAAGTTGTGACCAAACAGGATATAGTAACTCAGTCAGACATGTTGGTAGATTGGAGAAGGGCAGAGGCAATAGTGATGAAAAGGGATGGATACGGTGCAGTATTTATGCTGGAATTATAAGGAAGTTGAAGAAGAGAAGAGGTTGAGAATGTGCTCAAAGTATTTGGAAAGTGTGTTGTCATAGGAGACCAGAAAAATCTAAATGTTTGGGGAAGAAAAGTCAAATGTTAGTAGAAATAAAGTAAAGTGAGTTGAATAAATAGGACAACCATAATAAAATGGATTGAGGAATAAGAGGTAAAGAAATGAAAAACACTGAAAACAGCAAAGGCTTTGAAAAATAAGTGTGGTCAGAATCCAAGCAGTCATCAAAGAATTAAGCAGCTTAACATGAGGAGATAATCATAATTCTTAGTCCAGGGGATAGAAGAGAAGACCAGAGAGAAGCAAGAGATGGGAGTGGGAGTGGATACCAGCAAGAAGGCAGAGCACTGGGGGAGGAGACGGTCACTGGGAATTCCTGCTGAAAATATAACCACCTGGACTTTAAGAATAGACTTTTGAAATGGAAGATAATTCTTTCTGTTGATTTGCCCTGTCCTGTGGGATACAACCAGTTCCAGCACCTTCAGTTCTCCAGTAAACCCACTTTACTAGGGAACACTTGGTGTTAGTAGATTTTATGACAGAAATATGGAGAGGGCTGCATTTCTAGCCTGGAGACCCTTCCATGGAAGAGAAATAACTAAGAAAGCAGAAGAAAAGAACTCGCCTACCCCAAGAATTTATACAAACCTTAGACATCGGATGTTTAGCCCATCTAGATCTCAAGAGACAGCAAGACCCCGAATGACATTAAATTGCATAACCTCTATGTTTTTACTCAGAATGACTAGTATCAAGGAACAAGGTGTGTAACCACTGACCAGTTCTTTATATGGAGATAGTAGTATTCTGTTACAACCAGTTGAATTGCTCAGATTAAAACTGGCTCTTATTCTTAACCTCATTCACCAAGCAAGGACTGCAAGCCCAAACACCTTCCAAAATCAGCCTGGAATTTAATATGTGAAGGGGCCTCTGGGGGAGCCTATGATGAAGTGAAGTATCTATTCATATAGTCATTAAAATAAAATAAAAAACTGCAGGTTTATTATATCACATAATTAATACCCTCCAGCGTTATGTAAAATATTAACCTACTTATTAACCATTTATTCTTTAATATTCATTCTTTAATATGATTGGAAAAGTACATCAATATGTTTGGTTCTCAGGAAAGCCAAATTGACTTTTTAAAATTCTCTTAAGAGAATTTTTTTTTGGAGATAATGAGCAAGGATTAGGCATGCTCTCACTACCAGAGAAGCTGAATGACCTTAGTTAAATTACATGGATACTCTAACTCTCACGTTTATCTTTAGTAAAATGAACATAATAGGAACTATCTCCAAAGAGAATTAAATGAGATAATATGCATACGTGCATAGCCCAGGACCTGGTACAGACTAGGCATTTGGTAAATATTATCTAGTTTTAGAAATTTCAGTGAGGTGGTGTGTTATTATTCCCAAGCAAAATCCCCTCGAACCGCCTTCAAAAAAAAAAAAAATATATATATATATATATATTTTTGAAGGCGGTTCGAGGGGAGTACTCAGTACCATATATATATATATATATATATATATATATATATATATATATATATATATATGGTACTGAGTACTCTTTTGAGCATTGGGAATAGAGCAGTGAACAAGACAAAAATCCTCACCCATATGGAGCTTATATTTTGGCAAAAAAAAAAAAAGATGTAAGTAGAATTTTCCTTTTTGACAGTTTCTGTAGACTTTGTAAAATGAACTGTGACACATCCTGAAATTAGTCAAGTAGATCAATTTCTCCAGACCACATAAACAATTCTTCCTAGCCATGTAGCATGAATTTGTCCTCACTGGCATTCATCACTAAGATTTTTTTTTTTTTACCTTAATATTTCTCTTTAAAAGGTCCTAAGTCACAGTGTCATCCCTTGGTTTCTCCCAGTATGATCCTCTGCTAGTAGAAATGATAAAATATTAAAGATACTGGAGCTAAAATGGACCTTGAGTAATTAACTTACTTTATTCCACCCTTCCCCCCCCCAGAAAGCCCAAACCTTAAGTATCCTGAGCAAAGACACGTGGTTGGCATATCTACAATACAAGCCTTTTCATGGAGTTCATTTTGTTAGACTAAAAATGTCCTTCCTGTATCCTACATGCCATGTAATTCATCAAAAAATGTACTGACTTGAATGCCTGCTGCTTTGCCCCCAGCTGGACAACAATGGGGAAATGCTCATTCGCAATGCCCAGCTGAAGCATGCAGGCAGATACACGTGCACCGCGCAGACCATCGTGGACAACTCCTCCGCTTCGGCAGACCTTGTTGTGCGAGGTAAGAGTTCCCTACATTCTAAAATGATAAAGCCCAAGTCGTTCCACTTGCAAAAATACGTATAGTCTTCTGGTAACTCTGGTCGAAATTCTTAGATACTCTGAGTCTTGATCCTTGAGAACAGCTTGTCATGCCTAAGAATAATTTCTGCCAGACAAGTAGTAAACAACACTGATTTTGTTTGTTTTACTAACTACATGTCTTCTAGAAACTTATACCACAGACCCCCTACTAAACGCTTGTGCTTGTAAACAGTGCTTACCAGAAATTCTCAGTTCCTGCTAATACTTTTTTATGTGCTGAATATAGTGGTGTTTCCTTCTTTATTTTTTCATGGAAAAAATATGCTTGTGCCAATGTTATCTATTCATTACTATCATCTTAGAATCTAAACTGAATTTATATGTGTGTCATGTTTCCACTCTGTGCTTGTGTTCAGACTAGTGCTTTCGTTCTTATACATACTTGAGAAAGTGCTGATGCATATTGAAAATGTAACCCCTTTGGTACTGAATACTGTATACATGTGAGGCCACCCCAGGACATGCTTTATCTTTTCCAAAATCATCCATAGGCTCTTCACTTGCTGTCTGCACAATGAAAATCAATCCTTTTAACTAAGCACCCAAGAAGTTCTATGGGTTACCTCAGCCCTTAGCCTTAATCTCTCACCATTCCTCATAACCAATCCCACCATCCAACTAATCTACAAAAATACCCTAGCATTTCTACCTCCATTCCTTTCCTTGGTTCACTGCATTTCTTCCATGGCCTTTTCTCATCGTTTGTTGTTCACATCTTACCTATCCTTCAAAGTGTGACTCAAACCCTAGCCACTTTGGCTCAGTGGATAGCACATCAGTCTGCAGACTGAAGGGTCCCAGGATCAATTCCAGTCAAGGGCACACGCCTGAGTTGTGGGCTGGACCCCCAGTAGGTGGTGTGCAGGAGGCAGCTGATCAATGATTCCCTCTCATCATTAATGTTTCTATCTCTCTCCCTTGCTTTCTGAAATCAATAAAAATATATTTTTTAAAAAGTGTGACTCAAGTATTAACAAATTCATGAGTCCTTTCTGGATGTTCCAAATATGAGCCTCTCTTTTAGACTTTCACAACAATTACTACTTCTCTAGTGTTTTATAACAATCTGTGTACCTGTCATATTCTCTACTGTTGTATAATTTACATAATTTTAAATTAATTTTAGTGAGCTGCAGAATTCCCATGCATAGTTTCATAGCTCTCATTTTCTCTCTGTGTCTATATCTAATTTTTCTATTAGAAAAAAGTCTACTTTTTTATATTTTACCTACTAGAAATATGTCTTCACTATTATTTAATTGCACATTGTGGTTAATATTTTTGCACAGACAAATAAAATGTTATCTGTGTTTTGTTTTTCTCAACCCCTCTTCCAGATCTAGATCAATACAATTCCACCCAATCTCATGTGCCTTCTGTAGTTCTCTGTAGAGCATTGATAATATGGAGTCCCCATGTCAAACTGGGAAATTGCTGAGAAGTATTTTATTCTAGTTTACTGTGTTCTCCAAAAAAGCTTTAAGAATTCTAGCTGAAATTTCTTTAGCCAACTGAACTTAGACATTCATTTCACATAACACTTACTTGGATATTAATAAGACTCCAAAGCTACAAAATACTAAATCAAAGAGAGTTCATTTAATTCAGAGTTCAGTTTATTCTTGTATTCTTTTAAAAAAATATATTTTATTGATTTCAGAGAGGAAGAGAGAGGGATAAATAGAAACAACAATGATGAGAGAAAATAATTGATCAGTTGCTTCCTGCACACTCTCTAATGGGGATTGAGCCCACAACCCGGGGCGCGTGTCCTGACTGGGAATCAAAACTATGACCTTTTGGTTTATAGGTCAATGCTCAACCACTGAGCAAAGCCAGCTGGGCTCTTCTATTATTCTTTATTAATTACTAGAGGCCCAGTGCATGAATTCATGCATGGGTAGGGTCCCTTGGCTTGGTTTGCAATTGGGCTGATCATGGCCATTTTGCCCAGTCCCTATGGGGCTGCTGGGGCCTAGTCAGCCAGGAAGGGACTTTGGGAAGTTGGCAAGCTGGGGAGGAACTGTGGGAGGCCTTCAAGGTGTGTCTTGCCCTTCTCGCCCAGTCCCAATCATCTGGACCCCAGCAGCAAGCTAACCTACTGGTCAGAAAGTGTGCCCCCTCATGGTCAGTGCATGTCATAGTGACTGGTTGAGTGGTTGACAGAAAGTTCCACTAATTGGTCTGACACTTAGCATATTAGGCTGATAGATAGATACATAGGTAGGTAGGTAGGTAGGTAGGTAGATAGATAGATAGATAGATAGATAGATAGATAGATAGATATTGATTATATTATTTTCCATACAAACAACTGAAGACCTACTTTTGTCCCACCCTGTATTAAATGAATATTATTATTATAATAGTGGTTATGTTAGAATATATTACATCAGTTTCTTCACGTAGTAATTATGTTATAGTAAACTCCCAGTATTCAGAAAGTTTTATAGATATCATTGAAGAATTCACACATACTTAGATTATTGATAATCATCATAATGTGTATTTTACACAGCATAATATGCATTATTTACTCAATAAAATAAAGCTATAGCAGGTATTATGTAAAATTATAACTATTTTCATTCTCTAACACCTTTAGTCTCTAAAACAATACCTTAAAGCAATGGAACTTGGCAAATGTACTTAGATAGCATTTTAAGTCCCTGCACTGCATCATGTTCATAAAATTATATAAGCAGATGAAAAGTATTGCTTTGCATTTTATTTTATTTTTTGGAGATCTAATTGGCTTTATTAAGCAATTCATGAACTGGACAGCATTCCATCTATCAACTAGAAGGGTGCTCCCTGCTTAGCATTTTAAAAGTTAGCAGAGTCATAATTATTCTGAAAACTTTATTTCTAAAAATATAAAAGGTATTCATTTTATATCAAGAGACTTTTGCAATTAAAATAGTGAAATTAACTTCCATATAATTTGTGTTAAAATGTGTATAAACTAGACCTTCAAATATGCTTTACATATTTAAATTATGGGATATAAATTACTTTATTTATTATATTTCTTATAATATATGAAGAACAACTGCCTTAAGTAATATTATTATCAGTCTATTTATCCACTTAATTACTTGTTTTTATCTAGTCTAGGATATTATAACCTGGAGGCCCTGGACAGACATCAAGGGGTCCATACACATCCTGAAATTGTACATAAAGTTCCATGTGTATGTGCATTTTCCTAGGAACAGTATTAATGCTTTTCACCAGATTACATAGCCAGCAATGGTCACAATCATCTCATGACATCAATTAAAAATAATATTGTATCAGTGAAACAAGATTTTATAAAGCTTGGTTAGAACCAAGCTTTTATAATATATGTATGTATGATATAGGCAAAGAAATGTATGAGTCAAACAACTATTAATTGCTTAATATTTAAAAATCCTTCAGGTTTTAAAACTATTCTTAGTTTAAGAAAAAAAGAATCAGCTATAGGACTTAAAATGATTTTAAATTTATTTTATAAAAATCTAAATTAAGAGGATTGATACAAATTTCCTTCTGTGTTGTTGTAACAAATGTTTTACTTTTTAAATCCCATAAAAATGCATTTCAGTTTGCTAAATCAAGCATGTGTGACGCATATGTACATCCCTGGATGAATGTTCTTTAGCAAAGCTATTCCTAGAGGATTTAAAACTCTTCAGCTAAAAAAAAGTGTCCTTTAGGGGGAAAGACTTTTCAAGATTTATTCAGCAGCATTGTGGGAACATTTATGCAACATGCCAAATCTCAATTCTCTTTCATGAGTGCACTTTTGGACAGCATTCAAAAATGGACCATAAAATTAATCCACAAAAGCAAGAAATTAGGCTTTGACCTTCATATTTTACTGTTTTTCCATGGAATTTCTGTAATATTATAAATATCTTTGGCAATGCTATTGGCTTTGTTTGCCATTAAAATGGCCAAAATAGAAAATGCAATAATTATTACAATTTTCAGACCCCCCCCTTTTACATCTGATAAAATGCATTAAACAAAATGTATAAAGTGCAAGGCTGAAATTTAAAAAGAAAAAAAAAAAAGAGAGAGAGAGAGAGAGAGAGAGAGAGAGAGAGAAAAGAATTTCAGTACCTGAAGCATTTGGTCTCATTCTCAATCCCAATATAGGCTGCACAAAATTTGGAAATTTTTAAAATATATTTTTATCGATTTCAGAGAGAGGAGGGAAAGGGAGTGGGAGGTAGAAGCTTCTTCCTGTACATCACCTACTGAGAATCAAGCCCACATGACTTGGGCATGTTTCCTGACAGGGAATTGAACCATGACCTCCTGGTTCATGGGATGATGCTCAACAAACTGAGCCACATGGGCTGGGCTGGAAATGCTTTCTCCCCCCCCCACCTCCCGAGAGTAAGGGAGAAGGAGAGGAAGAAAGAAGCATCAATGATGAGAGAGAATCATTGATGGCTGCCTCCTGCATGCCCCACACTGGGGATGAGCCTGCATCCAAAACGTGCCCTGACCGGAAATCGAACCATGGCCTCTTGGTTCTTAGGTCAACACTCAATCACTGAGCCATGCTGGCCAGACTATAAATGTTTTTAAAGTAAGTGAAGTTAAAGTGGGTAATATAAAATTGTTAAATCATTTTATCTCCAAATCAAATTTGTATTTTTATATTGTTATATTAGAAACTTAGACCATTATCTGCAGATTTTTATTTAAATGGGAATATGTATGTATGTATTTCTCTAAAGCTTTCCTCTTTATTTCTAAGGCCAAATATAGTTACAGAATGAAATAGCATATAAGTTAGATGTCACCTTTATTTGATGTAATCCACTGAAGTTTTTATTACTTGGCTTAATGATATGGTTACCAGATTCTTCCTTAAGGAGGTCATTTTGGTTGATGACTAACCCACTTTTAAATTCTGTG